ACTCTTTCTAAATTCCAAATTTGGGTGGGGAAAAAAGAAGGCTTTGAGTGGACCAAACCTCAGAAGACAGGCCAAAAAGAATCTCTCACCAGGTAGTATCAATGATGCCCATTTACACAATTCCTGATTTATGGTAATATCATCATCCAAAAAGGAAATTCCTGAAACAAGAGCACAGAGGAAGAGAAGAGGAAACAAGAGCAGGGCCTTGGCCTCTGTTCTCCCCCACCCCTCCCCCGCCAGCCAGCAAAGCCCCTGACCTCTGCCCGTCCTGCACTTGCCCTCTGTGGACCCTGCCCACCTGCTCCAGGGCCGCCCCCGAGTCCCTCTCAGGGGCCCAGCGGAATTCAAACGCTTTTCCTAACAATCCTTAGGACTTATTGCCGTTTCGTGAGTGTGCACTGGGGTTCCCAGACGCCCCCTGTCCTGTGTGGTCAGAAGTAAGACCGTGGAAGCAGAGAGGAGGACTGAGCTCTGCTCTGGATGGGCCGCTGCTAAAACACAGCAGGGGTGTAAAGCGGTGCCACCCTTTGCTCAACCTTGTTGTTTCAAAAATAGTTATCCTAAGAAGATATTTATGTTAACTTGTGATGTGTCTAGTTTCTAATAATGTCTTTAATTTCTCAGTTTTTATTTTTCAATAGGGTGAATATAAGTAGATATAATCCCCATGAGCAAAAGCTCTTTGGGGACCGCAGTAACTGGTAAGAGTGTAAAGGAGTCCTGATGCCAGAAGCACCTCCTGTCGGATGTGGCTCCCACCCATTTGATTTCTTAGAGACAGGGACTGACCAGTCGTTTCCCACCCCCTCACAAAGCCTCGCAGCAAAACCAACCCCAGGCCTCCCTCAGGTGGGGGGTTCTCAGTACACAGGGCATCGCGACCCACGCCTCTCACAAAGGCCTTCCTGAATGGCGTGAGGGGCACAAGTAAACGGGTCCCTGCTTAGAAATGTGTCTGCTGGGGGGAAAAAAGCAGGATTCTTTGAGCCTCCTGATACGTGAGAAAATAAGGACAGAAGGTGTTAGAACGTGGTCACGCATCTGGAGGCCCTCCCTCCACCTTGCTACTCTACGCGGTACACCTGCGGCGGGTGTTGGTCGAGGCAGGTGTCGAAGCGGCAAATCCTGGAGGAGTGTGGTCAGAACGTCCCAGCACAGGTCCTCAGAAGATGTGCTGGTGACCGCCTTCTTCACACTCCCGAAACATCAGGCGTTTCTACTGAAAATGATTGGAAATGATTTGCGAGACAAAGGAGAGACCAGCTAGTTTTCTCTTTTTGTACTTGCTGTGTGCACACCATCGCCGTCCCCTTCTTGTCTAAGCCACGACCCGAGTTCCCAGGGGAAGCCCCTCCCTGGGCTTGAGGCTGGGGCACGAGGCTGAGCCCACTGCCGGCGCCAGGAGTAGGCCTCGGCGGAGGAACCTCGCGGAGGGGCAACTGGGGGCTGATACCAGCCTGCACCCGCTCCCCAGGCCAGGTGCAGCTACTGCTTGGAACTGCTGAAAAGATACGAGGGCATCGCCACCTGCCCCTGGGGACCCCAACAGGGGAGCCAGCCACCTGGGAGCATGTCCAGTTGGTTTGAGGTCAATAAGTCCATCTTCAAATCCACAGTAATTTCAGAAGCAAGAACAAGAATAATTATTTCACTTTGATGGTCCAATGCCTAGTGCTGAAATTAAAGAGAACTTCAATAAACAGATTTTATGGCAATGAAAACAGACGACTTAGAAGAGGAAGGTCCAGGGATACTTCTTTTGTTTTTCAAATCTTTATCTTAGGGGGAAAAAATTACCCCGAACATACTAAACTAGTCTATCAAATACCATGGTAAATTATCAGGATTCACTGGGTTACTTAATACATTTATGGAGACAATTGGTTGCAAACAGTTTCCACGAGAGGATTTTGTTTCACCCTTAAGAAGTTTCACCAAGAGCTCGTTACTCATCTCCTTAGTGATGCCTTTTGACTCTATTATTAACCTGATCATTCTGAGCCAGAACTAAAGATAACATGCATCCTTTCTCCAGTAGGGAGGCCAGGACGGAGTGGCATTTTACTGTGTCCTCCAGTGGCAGGAAGGGAGGGGAAGCTCCCCGGGGCCTCTTTGGTGAGGGCACTGCTCACCTCCCAGCGACCCTGCCTCTAACACCGTCCCAGTGGGGATCCGGCTTCCACTTCTGCATTGGGGGAGGGAGGGGTGCAAATATCCCGTCTGCAGAAAAAAAGGTACTGGACTGTTCACAAAACCACGGCAGTGCTGCTGAACGCGGGCAGGAAGGGGAGGAAACTTGGCAGGTCACACTCACCCCACAGGAACGAGCTGCTCGGGATGCCACCTGCGGGCTGTTGCTGTTTGACAGCTGCGTCCTGCTGCGCCCGGACCCTAGCTGCCACCGACGGGGCCCCGTGTCTCCCCTACAGCTGCTCAGAATCATCTCTGGTGGTCCCACCTCTTTCGCAACACTCCATCAGGTTAGAAATTCCAGCAAACAGATAGCAGTCTGGCCCCGGCTGGTGCAGCCAGGAAGCTGGAAAAAGGAGCGTGCGTGACCCTTCAGCTTTTGTACTGGAAGGTGGGGCCTCCCTCCCCTCACTGAGCTCAGGAGTCCCCAACACCGGTAGGTCCACTACAGCACCCCATTAGCAAAGGAAGAAACTGGGCGACAGAATGTGTGAGACCACAGGACGGGTCTGAACCTGTCGTGAGGGAGACTCCTGGGAGAGGTTGGGTTTGACTGGGGATCAGAACACGTTTCATGAGAGTGGCATCTGGGAAAGGCTGGCCGGATGCGATCTTTGCTAATAAAAAGAAACAGAAAAGGGGTCCCGGGCCACCCGGGTGAGAGGAACAACGTCACCAACATCGACCTGAATGCAAAACAGAGAGGGTAACGTAACATCTCCCCCCTGAAATTCTATTCTGCTTAAGTTGGCCATGATTTATTTCTGTTATTTGCAGTGAAGACTATATAAACTGGGTACACTCTCGCATTAAAATACCATTCTGTGCAAACCCAACTGGAGAAAGTATGGATTTTATGTTTTTAGTTCTGGCTATTTAATTCTGGCGCAGACGTTCCTCCCAGAAGCAGGGGCTGCAGTGTGGCCGCAATCTGTAAATTGAAATATCTATTCACTGATTCAACGTTCATTTAGAGCCTGATGTGTTCCAGGTTCTGAAGTCAAGTGCACAGAATATTGATGTGAATAAGGTCAAGACCCCACCTTTAAGGTCGTCAGAATAATGCCCCTCCCCCATGAAGATGCCCCAATATTGGGAGCCTATGAATTTGTTACGTCACTCAGCAAAAGGGGCTTTACACGTGTGACTGAATTAAGGGCCTTGAGAGTGGGAGGCAAGCCCTGATGACCCGGGGGACAGAGAGGCAGTCCAATCACACAGGAGAAAAGTACAGGAAAGGATGTAGGAAAGGAACATCTGTGGTCTTAATGGGAAAAGTGGCATGTAAGTGACCTAAGCCGTGAATATTTCACCATTGCCACAGAAAACTGGGAAGAAAGTTCACTAGAAACACAAATAAGGATACATAAAGCTAAGAAATAAAACAACAAATGGTGATGTTTATGGAGTGCTTACAAGGCGCTTTACCTGGGTGACATGTAAAAATGTCAAAATTTCACATAAACTGCACAAATGTGCAAAAAGTTTTAAAAAGGTCTTTTATTTCTGTAGCTGATCTCATTTTACTCTTCCTCAGTAGAGTGTGGAAAAAATGCCTAAAGTTGCCAGTTAAATGCACTGGGCCTTCTGCCCCATGAATTGATACTCGGTCCATTCAAAGTCCAAACTCAAGGCTGCTTCCTCGGCCAAAGCATCTTTTGTATCCACTTATCACCAAGCACAGCATCTTTGCAGAGAAGGCTGATAAATGAATAAGGAATTGACTTCCCGGGGCCTCCATGGTGTGCTGTTTCCTTACCCACCCAACTGTCCCTCCTTCTGCTCCTCTACCGCCACCTCTCCTCTCTCCTCCGGACACATTCTAACTGGTCCACGCCCTTCCGCCCTGCAGCTTAACTTCCGGTGGTAGAATCTTCATACCCTAGACGTTTATGCAGGGTCAGCTCTGAAGCAGGCATAGGTGGGGCACAGGTGAGACAAGGATGAAGAAGCTACAGTTCCTGCCCTTACACACACACACAATTAACCTATAGAATAAGAAATGCAGGTATTTGGGGAAATCCACGAGGTCATGTCATTCAAGATTTTTTTTTGAGGAAATCATGCCTGAGTTTATCTTAAAAGTTGAATGAATGAAGCAGGTGGGTAAGAGGGGAAAGAGCTGCATTCTCAGCAGCAGAACCCGATACAGAGCAAGCCAGCTAACATTTCCAACGATGCCCCGAGACTGGAACAGCTGGGTTAAGTGGCAGGAAAGGAGGCCAGATAGATGATCTGTAGTTTATTAAACGATGCTGGGACTTTTCCTCCTGAAAACAACAGGCTGCCTTTCAGATGGGGGGATAACGATCAGCTATTTCTTGAGAAAGGTCCTCAGGTAGCACCGTGGAAGACCAGGCAGGAGAACCATGTAGTGACCGGGCTGCTCTGACGGACTTCTCTGATTGTGTTAGTTTTCAAGGCCAGCCTCCCACCCACCTCCACCCAAATTCCTGCAGAATTTGTGAAGTCTGCGGCCCAAGTTTTGACAGTTAATTACCTTTTATTTTATTCCCTAATTGTTTCCTGCGTGCATCACTCTTGTAACCCTAGTTAAAACAGTATGATAAACATTTATGGATCGGAAATGGGTGGTAAAGACCAGGTAATGAGCTTTCCGAGCTGCACCGGGAGGGCTGCTTGAGACTATCCTCGGAGACCTGGCAGGCTTTCCCAACAGCGGCCGAGGCCAACCACGGCTGTTAGACCTGCTATGACCACAAGAGGGCGCGTTCCCTCAACACTCTGGCGTTCTCAGAGTGAACGAGCGGTGACTTATTTAGACCCTCTGTGGCTGCCGTCGTCCGGGACAGTAAACAGGAAGTAGAACTCCACCGGGGACGGCCGTCCGGGTGAAAAAGACCAGGGTTTTAGCGGATCTTTACCACTCCAGCCGCTGCGTGCGGGCGCTTTGAGTGCGTCCGTGTTTTGCCTCCCTCGTCCGTTCCTGCTGCAGTTGGAGATATTTTATCCTGATCCAGCGCCTGCCTTTCTACAAAATTGTCACCAGAACCATGGCCGAATACTCCTTTGTGAAGTCCACCAAACTCGTGCTCAAGGGAACCAAGGCCAAGAGGTAAGGCCGGACATTGGCATGGAGACCTTCTTCTCTCTCCTGGTGATCCCCCCGCTCCCCAGGAGCGTCTCGCGGAGGCTCCCACAGCTGTCAGCTGTCACTTAGGCTCGCGGCCTTGGGCCCATCGGGGCCGGTGCGGCGCTGGGAAGACCCGCCGCGGGGACGCGCCCCGAAAGGGGAGGAGACGGGGGTGCGCGACCGACAGCCCTGCATCCTTAAGTTTGGGCGCCCGGCCGCCCCGCAGCTTCCGCTCCGCAACCCCCGCTGTGGTCTACCGACGTGGGTCATAACTTTCTTTATTAGGAATTAGTTTCACCATTGTCTCCCTCCACCTTAAAATCCTTGATGTATTTACAGCGCAATATGCAGATGTGGATTTTGACAGGGATATGGGCTCGAGTCTGGACCCCACTAATTATAACCTCATTTTGTGATTTGTGGCGAGTTCGTTAATATCTTTCAGCTTCCTTTTACTCGTTAAGAAGGATTAGTTGTACTCTAAAATGATTGTTATGAAAAGAAAAACAAACAAAAAATGGTTGTTATGAGGATTAAATAAAATAAAATGTGCTGTCGTTTAGAGCCTCGAAAGCCAGGAGGAGGTTGTAGTGGTGATAAGGACTTTTAGGAAAAGGTATCTCCCCACTCACCTCCACCTCTTTTTTAACTGGTTGATTTGCTCCGGTTGACTGTTCTTAAAAACGTTCCCATTTCCTTGATAAACGGAGTTTTGGGTACTTTCAGGAGAAATGGAAAGAAAGTGACAAGGAGGAAGCCGAAGCTACCGCCCTTCAATAAGTGAAACTTTTACTCTGAATTTACTGGAGGGAAGGGAGAGTTAGCTTCTGAAAATGTACTTTATGATGAAAATGCAAACAAATGTGTCTTATAATTATCATAACTACTGATCATAATTAACACACCTAAAGCACTTTTTATGTGCTAACAACTGTTGTAAACACTGCATATTAACTTTTTTAAATCATCCCTGGGGTTATTTTTTTATTTTTTGGTTACTTAATGCAATATTATTTACATACCATGAAACTTAACCTTTTAAAGTACAATTCAGTAGGTCTTTTTAGTACAGTCACAAGGTTCACCACTGTCAGTAGTTGCTAAACGTTTTCATCACCTCAGAAGGAAACCCCTCTCCTGGTAACCTTCATTCCTCCAGTTCTCCCCTCTGTCCCTGGCAGCCACTCATTTGCTTTCTGTCTCTGTGGATTGGCCCGTTCTGAATAGTTCAGATAAATGTAATTGTACAGCATGCTGCCTTTTATATCTGGCTTTTACTTAGCAAAGCATTCCCAAAGTCCATCCGTGTTGTAGCGTGCATCTGTACTCACACTCTTTACAGCTGAATGATACTCAATTGTGAATGTAACAGTAGGTAACGCATTCTGCTTATCCATTTGGCATTTGATGGACATGGGGGTTTTTCCACTTTCTGGCTATTGTGAATAGGATCATTGTAAGTATCCTTATGCAGTTATCATGCAGACATATGTTTTCATTTCTGCTGGGTATATACCTTGGAGTAGAATTGTTAGGTCATATGATAACTCTGTGTTTAACTCTTTGAGGAACCCCAAACTAATTTCCAAAACAGCTTCACCATTTTACATTCTCACCACAACATATGAAAGTACATATTAACTGTTAATCCTTAAAATAACCTTAAGAGTTGGGTGAAATTATTATCCTTACTTTATAGGTGGGAAAGTGACTCAAAGAGTCCATTCTTTTGCCAAAAATCCCAGAGCTAAGAAGTGATAGAATTAGGATTTAAAATCAGGCGGCTGGCTCCAGAGTCTGTGCCCTTAACCATGACACAGTATATGCAGGGTCAGAAGCAACGTCTGTGTTAGAAGAGGCATGTTCGTGCAAATTAATGACATACAAATCAGTGTGCAGCTTAAAAGATTCTTCTAAAATTCTGTCCTGTAAAATATAAAATGTAAATCAATATAGCTAAACTCATCTGTATAAATTATCTCCTGCAGTAAGAAGAAAAAGAGCAAAGAGAAGAAGAGGAAAAGAGAGGATGATGAAGAAACCCAACTTGATATTGTTGGTGAGTTTTCTACACTCCCTTTAAAAATATTTTTTTAGTTAGACATGAGTTATAAAAAGAAAGCAGAAGGAATTTATGACCTGTTCATATTTATCTTGAAATGCTCAAGTATTATTAATGGGCACGGATTTGTTTTATTTTCTGACGCAGTAGATGTGACTGGTGTCTTTTCTTCATTATCAGAACAAAGCACGGGAGAGAGGAGACAGCTCCCTGATTTAATAGACACCGTTAAACTACTTAATAGCCCAGATTCTGATATACAGTTTTGAAGGCTTGATATAAGTATTATTTAGCCAAATATATTTTACAAATTACAGTAAGTCCTAACATTACACAGTTGTCAGTAGGTTCTTGGAAACTGAAATGTAAGCGAAATGATATCTGCTGTAATGAAATGAGTTCTACCATAGCCTGATAGATATAAACGACAGTTAAGTTCTGAGAGCGTATTTCTGGTCACAAAACAACACTGAGATAAATGTGAGCCATCCATACATTTAAGAAAGATGAACAAGTAAGATCCTTATTTTTCAACCCCCTTGTTCCATTTCAGGGCGGTGGGTCTGCAAGGTCAGACAGAACGCAGAGCAGACCCCACCCCTGGACAGGACGCCCTCCCCCCACACTGAGACCAGGACAGTGGAGACACATGGTCTGCCTCACACACTGTCTGCCTCACACGCAGGTCTTTAGGGTGTGGGTAGAAACCTGTGCAGACAGTGGCCTCTGCAGACAGTGGCCTCGGCAGGAATCCATCAACATTATAACAAAACAACTTTGAACAAAACTGTTACTAGACAACTTGGTTTATTTTCTTTGAGAATGTGTACATTTTAAACCAGTGATTTGTATATTCCTGAAAGAAATATAATGACTTTGTATACAATGAAATGAATGAAAATCTTAATTAAACATCAAGGTAGCTTATTAACAGTGCCAGAAATAAACTGGCCCAAACATACTTAATAAGCCTGTTTTCCAGTTAAATCTTTCTACCTTTTCCACACCTATACTTTAAAGCAATTCTTTCTCTTAAAACGTGGCAGGTTGCATTTTGAAACTTTATGAATTTTGGCTCCTTTTATATGAAATGTTATAAAGCTAATATTCCAGAAAAATCTCCCCATTTTTTGGAAATAGCAAATCAACAACTCTAAAATTAGGGTAAATATCTTGGGCAGATGCATCTGTGTGTAGATTTGCTATGTCAAAGGATAGGTGAGTACGTAACTACATAAAAATCCTGCCAAAAATACACCAAGAAAGTATTAAAATTCTATTATTAGTCTTTTCTCTCAGTTTGTGGTTTGACTTTTCATTTTATTAATAGTGTTTTTTGATAAGTATAATTTTGTAATTTTTATAAAGCCCAATTAATTTTTTTTTCTATTATGGCTGCCACCTTACTCCACCAGTTCAAGAAACCCTTGCTTATCCCAAGGTGTCAAAGATGTTCTTCTGCATTTCCTTTCACAGGCTTCCTAGGTTGGGTTTTCACGGTAGATTCATGGCCCACCTCACATTAACCCGGGTGTGGTGTGAGGTAAGGGTCAGGGTTCTTTCTTCCTGCAGATTCATATCAGCTGTTCTAACATCTCTGTTGAATAGACTTTCCTTCCCTGTTCCACTGCTTTGTGTCTTCGTCAAAAATCGGTTGACTTTGTGTGCACTGGTCCTTTGCTGGGCTCTGTTCATCAGTGTCTGTCATTCTACTGATGGATTTGACTTGGTTACTGTCACTTAACCAAGTCTTGAAGTAAGGTGATATGAGCCTTCCAGCTTTCTACTCCTTTTCCAAGATTATTTTGATTATTCTAGGTCCTTTGCATTTACATATAAGTTTTATAATCAATTTACCACTTTCTGTAGTAAAGCTTGTTGGATTTTCTGGGGAACTGCATTAACTCTACGTCATCTGGAGAGACTTGACATCTGAACCACGCTATACTCTCAGTAATTTGCAGTTCTTAATGTAGCAGTCTTCCACGTCTTTTTAAAATCCTCGGGTATATCATAATATTACACTACTGTAAATGGGACTTTGAAGTTGTATTTGTAAACTGTTTGCAGTTAGCATATAGATATACAGTTGATTTCTGTATATTGAGTTCATCGTCTGAGACGTTACTCAGTTAACATCCTGGTTTCGATGTCTGCCGTCAATAGCGCAGTTGTGCGAGGTGTGACCATTGGAGGAGAGCGAGCAAGGGTATGTCAGATCTGTCTACTGTTTCTGAGAACTGCAACATTTTTAGAAAGTACCTTATAATAACAGCAACAAGTAAGAACCTTCTGTCAACTCTGAAATACAAACTTTAAATACTGATTTTATTTTTTAGGAATCTGGTGGACAGTAACAAACTTTGGTGAAATTTCAGGAACCATAGCAATTGAGATGGATAAAGGAACCTACATACACGCACTTGACAACGGACTTTTTACCCTGGGAGCCCCACACAAGGAAGGTTTGTGCCGGAAGTGCTCACAGGGAAGGCCTCTTAGGTGTGCATCTTACTGTATTTGTCCCTGGGGCCCGTGTCTCATCTCAAGCATAATGCATTCCAGAGGAATGAGTCTGTTGCCTTTGAGTCTTCGCTTTTTTCTTGCCTCAGTCTTTACCAGTTATAGGCAACTCCCTCTTTTTAGTATAAGAATTTTAAAACATTCTCTATAGTTGCAGAAATATACCTATGGAAATCAAAAACAACAGGAATCATTGAAATTGTATGTGGAAAGAAAAAGAACGCCTGGCTGAGTCAAAGTGTTGAATCCCTTCGTCCTTCAGACCTTTGGCCAACCTGACCCCGAGCACTGTAAACAATTTAAAGTCTCCCACCGCCTTTTAGCCAATCACAGGAAACACTGAGATGAGAAAAGGCACTGTCTTCTGGTCTGAATGGCCATCGCTTGAATTAATTAAAGCATTTAGTTTTTAAAATAAAGCGGTTTGTCCCTGTACTGACTGCATTTAAAACACACAGAGAAAATATCTCGGCAGTGGTATTTTCTAAATAAGCATCATGCTGGCCTCTCATTAAACATGTAAAACTAATACCACAGTTATAAGAACATAAAGTAGATCTTGGTAATATGAATACTAAATTGTAATTATATGAGAATAATATTCTTAAATTTTAAAAGAAAAACTTCTTTTAAAACTGAAGACTCTCTGTGCACGCGTGTTTGTGACTAAGGTCAGATTTCACAATGTTTCTCCCCCTGTAGTTGACGAGGGCCCCAGTCCTCCAGAGCAGTTCACAGCCGTCAAGTTGTCCGATTCCAGGTAAGCTTGCTTGGGTTGAACTGTAAGTGGTAACCTTTTTCTTTAATTTAGGATTATTTGTTAAAAAACCTCAATATATAGCTAACTCAAACCCACAGAGCAATTTTTATTTATAAAGCAAAACAATATATTTGAAAAGTATGTTTTGTGATATTTAACAAAATATAGCATTATTTATATATCCAGTTGATATTCAGGTATTATTAAATTTCATTTTCAGGAGGGGAATAAAGGGGAGAAAAAAATAGGACAACTGTAATAGCATACTCAATAAAAAAACATTTATTTAAAAAATAAATTACGTTTTCAATATTTCTCTTTAAAAGGGAAATAAAGCCCTAAAGTTATAATGCCTAGCAATATATAATACTGTGCTGAAAAAAAGAAAATGAATAATGTCACAAACAAATAAGGTAGAGACTAGAGAGACCCTGTGAGGAGCCACAGACGTGTGACCCGTCTGGCTGCTGCGGGTGCGGCAACTCACAGACTCACCCGCGTGAACCCAGGCTGAGTTGGAGGGCCGCAGGGAGGGGAGCTGCTGGGACCAGCGGAGAGTGTGACAGAGCCGCAAAAACCAGGATGTTTTACTCACTGTCTTTGCAATCATTTTATCAGCTGGCCTTTTTAATTCTCAGATACAAAAGTACAGAATGATGCTTCGTGTAGTAAATATGGAAATTAAATTTCAGTATCCTGGTCATTGGCTAGGTGAAGATGATGATGGTTTATATTATTTTATCATTGACCTATATACGAGTATAAAGTCAATCCCCTGGCATCACAGGGGATTGGTAAGCTAAAAACTTAAAAATAATATTTGTCCCTTAAAAAACAATATTAACATGATTATTTCCATACTTTCTTTAAATGGCCAGTAAGTACTCTGAAGGACTTTTAAAGAATGAAAGCTAAAGTATAACCAGTAAACTCAAACTTCTTTATATATTTGAAGAAGAAAGAATTTAGAAAATGTTTGCTATATACGATACAGTCCTTGCAATAAAAAGCAGAATATGAAATCGCATCTATAGAACTACACAGTATGGTAGCCAGTGGTCACTGATGTGTGGCTTTTAAATGTCTGAACTATGGGTACTCTGAATTTTCATACACATACACATTATTTTTATGTTCCATACTTTTCTTTCTCTCAGTTTATAACTCTGATCTTTTTCATTCATCTGAAGAATTGCCCTGAAGTCTGGCTATGGGAAATACCTCGGCATAAATTCAGACGGACTCGTTGTGGGGCGTTCGGATGCAATTGGACCAAGAGAACAATGGGAGCCAGTCTTTCAAGACGTGAGTGCTGTGATTGTTTACAAAAGGCTTCTTGTTGATGGAAGGAATCTCGTGTAGGGAGAAATCAGCAATTTTATGTCCGGAAAGATACCAACAGCACTATTTATAATAGCAGGAAAAAAATGTAATTCTTCTATAATAGAACATTATATATCTGTTAAAGTAGAATACAGGACTTTAGGGAAGTTCATTTCACTTTATTTTGGAGAAAGACATTAAGTTTTTAAAATTCAAATTTAAATTAAAGAGTGACTTAAACGTCCTGATGTGGCGAGTACACCTTGATTGCAGAAAGTGGCTGAAGGACCAGCAGTGCAGTTTAAACCCCTTCGGGTGCACGACACACCGTCTTCAAGCTCACTGGGGGTCTCCCAGGTGACAGGGAACTCAGCCCTTGCACCTCAAGCACTTTGATAACTTGATATGATAGAAGGTTATTAATACAGTTTTGTAATTATACTTGGGAATATTTTGTCTGATGTGTATGGTATTCGGTTTTCCAAAAGAATCAACAATGTATAAGTTATGATGAAAACTTAGATATGTAAGGAAATGTAATTAATCAAATTTATAATCTAGGTTTAGCTACACAAGAAAATCTTCAGAGTTCTGTTCATCAGAATCAGATAACACATTGAGCATTGAACAACTAAAAAGAATATGAACATTTCTTTCCACACACAGAAGTCTCTCAGACATTGATTCTTCAAGTCCTGCACAGTAAATTCAAAGTGGCCGAAGGCTAGCTTTTATATGATACAGTCTTTTATTTTTCTAATTATGGAGGAAAGTTTACTTAAAACACAACTATTTGAGTAAATTATTGTGTACTATGTTATAACTTTTATTGTCTTGGAGGCTATTTTTTTCAAACTCAACTAAATTAGTTATATCTTCAATAGATCTTTGAGACCGAAAGAAACAATTCTATTTCATCTAGTTATAATGTAATCCTACTAATAAAATATACTGAAAATACTTATTTTGGTTATCTTTGAATAATTAGATTATAGGTGATTTTAGTTTTTTATTTGTTTTTCCCCCCAGAAAAAAACATACTCTTTTTTGTGTGTGATTACTTTTAGAGTTGTGGAGGAAAATTTATCTCGAGACTTAAGAATTCTTTTTCAGGTATTCTCATAATTGTTTTTTGTTATTCTGTTTAGGGGAAAATGGCTTTACTGGCCTCCAATAGCTGCTTTATCAGATGCAATGAAGCAGGTGATATAGAAGCAAAGAGTAAAACAGCAGGAGAAGAAGAAATGATCAAGGTAACCATGGCGTTTTCTTTAGATTAATACATGTCCCATATGATGTGACCGGGTCTCCTTAAATGTTAGAACGTGGCCCCTGCGGGCAGCTCAGTTGGAGCATCAACCCATCACTACAAAGGGTTGCAAGGTCTTTTTCTGAATTGAGCTGCTAAGTTACTGTTTTCTTCTTTTGCATAAGAGATCACCTAGAATGTTCTTATGGTTCTTATGTACTAAAGCAAAGTTGGAAAGGGGAAAGATAAATGTAAAACTCACTGGGTTCTCATCTCCAATATCCAGATTAGATCCTGTGCTGAAAGAGAAACTAAGAAAAAAGATGATATTCCAGAAGAAGACAAAGGAAATGTTAAACAGTGTGAAATCAATTACGTGTACGTATTCTTTTCCTTTTGGACCTACAGACTTGACAGTAAGGTGCTTCTCCAGGCACAAAAAGAAAAAACCTGAAGGCCAGGAGGAGGCAGCACAATGAAAACACTAGGATGGAGCCCTGAGCCGAAGGCTTTTCTTTCTCCGAGTCCTTCAGTTTTCCTAATTATCCTGCTAGCTTTCAAAGCTGAAGTCACTTGGCTTTGTCCATCCTCCCCACTCATTAATAAATAGAATGGCTGTAACTTGTCAATTCAGAATGCCAGCCAGGTCCTAGGTCCCGCCCCAGAGCCAGGACGCCGCCTCCAGCCAGAATCCCGGGGTGGCGGCGAGGCCCTTCACCTGCGCACGCAGCTGCCACCTGGGTGGTGGGCACCACGACATGTGCAGGGGAAAGGCTGTGTGTTACTAAAGAGGTACAATTTAGGTTTCCTTAAATAAGTGAAGAACTTTTTAAATGTTTGTAAGTTCATCAGTAATCACATGTAATCAAAGTTTGAGATATTTTTCAAGAAAAATATTTTCTTAACAGAAAGAAATTTCAGAGTTTCCAAGACCACAAACTTAAAATAAGTAAAGAAGACAGTAAAATTCTTAAAAAAGCCCGGAAAGATGGATTTTTGCATGAAACACTTCTGGACAGGTAGGTGTATTTTTACTTATTTCCAGCTATGATTACACGTTCAATAAAAGTGGCAAATATAAAACCACTGTTATTTCTGAATTACTGTCATTCTCAAATACTTCTCATTATTTCTAATTTGTAAACATAGTAATATTTCCAAAAGAGGACATGATAAGTCTGGGAAACGATCACCACGAAAAACTATGTAAATAGAGCTAGGTTCCAAATACTTACATGTTTTGTTGTAAGAAATTCAGATTTCACTGAAATTTCTTTACCGACATCTTTTTATAACTGTCAGAAACAGGCTAGAACGAAGTCGTTTGACTAATTTCAAAATTCAGGTCTGTTAGAGTGACACAAGCTCCTAAAAATAAGATCAAAATGGGGCACTTTAAAAATACTAAATAGAGCCCGGGTTGGTGTAGCTCAGTGAATTGAGTGCAGGTCTGGGAACCAGAGTCACCAGTTCAGTTCCCAGTCAGGGCACATGCCTGGGTTGCAGGCCAGGTCCCCAGTAGAGGGCGCAAGAGAAGCAACCACTCATAGATGTTTTCTCTCTCCTTCCCTTCCCCTCTCTCTAAAAATAAATAAATCTTAAAAAAAATAAAAATTACTAAATAGAAAATTAAATTAAGTGAAATTGAAGAACTTTTGTTAACTTGAGTTCAGAAGTGTGCAGGATATTTATCATAGCACATTATTAATATTTATTACTTATTTAGTTAAGTAATTCCCTGAATTTACTACATTAAAAAACGAGTGACGTTTAACTTTGAACTTAATGACTAAAATCAAAGAAGGGCCAGATTAAAAGAGAAGTTGCTAATTTTCTGCCACTTATTCAAGTCCTACATTGCAAGATTAGTCTTAAGATATTTCTTTATAGTACTTGATAAAGACAGTGTATCTCCTGTTAACTAGTTAAGTTAGTGCCTGAAGTCAGCAAATGATGTGAGAATTTTTTTCCAGCTGTGCAAATTAGCATCTAGTATCTAGTTCTTAGAAATCAAGAACAGGACATAAAAATAAATCAGGCTGTGGATTCAGAAGAAATCGAATAAGGTTTATGTCCTATAGGAAAATACAACATTGTTAAATAAAGAAGTTCAGGGCAGGCTTAAAATCACAGGTAATTAATACTGTGCGAAACAAAGCGTCACTGGTTCAATTCCCGGTCAGGGCACATGCCTGGCTTGCAGGCCAGGTCCTCAGCAGGAGCGCACAAGAGGTAACCACACATTGATGTTTCTCTCCCTTTCCCCTTCCCTTCTCTCTGAAAAATAAGTAAAATCTTTTAAAATATCTTTTAAAAATTGGTATTGTGGATTGAAAAAGCCCTTAGGCACATTTGTTAAAAATTAGGAAAAGAATTTCATAAGAATAGAATCCATTTGGTATGAAACATAAAATTGAAAAGTAAAATTTTAATTAAAATATTGTAAGTGGTATGATATAACAACTGAGAACACAATTTCTAAACCTGAGTTTATGTTTAGTAGCAGTTTACTATATATGGAATGTTTTATGTAGATTAATTTTCATTGTTTGTCTTTGCAAACAGGAGAGCGAAATTGAAAGCCGATAGATACTGCAAATGACCAAGATTTTGCCTCTGCCTTCTCTTGTTTTTTTCTGAATAAAATAACCAGTGCATTTACAGAGTTCTTGGATCATTATGGAATCATTGCTAAACTGGTAGCTAGTCTGACAGAGATGAATGGGGTTTAACTCAGCTGCCCCACGGATGCACATTTGGGTTTACGGCAGGGTTCTGCATGGAGAGGAAACTTGGAGAGCGCACTTGAAGGGCCACAGGGTGTTTTTCTTGTCGGGATTTCTGATCATAAAGCAGGAGGTGCTGCTCTGTGAAACTGACCTCCTCGTAGAGCTGGTGGCACTATCTTACTGCTTTATGGTCTACTTTACATGACTTGATACAGTAAGTGCTCATCGGTACCTTTAAAAGGAAGTTAGAAAGTGCCGATCCAGACAGTCGACCAGGCTTTGATTCTGCCTCTTCCAGACTGCCCCAACCACACTCAAGCCAAAGGGACACCAGCACCAGGGGGCAGGGCCGAGAGAAAGGAACCCCCCTCAGGCAGTGGAATGGGAGCAGGAAACTTGCCTAGAGAGCAGGAAGGTGCAGAACAGAGGACAGAAGTAAAACCCAGAAGGCCCCTACTGAGGACCCTTTAGCCACAGCGGATGTCAGTGCAAGGCTTTGGTGCTCGGGTGGGAAGGGAGGGGAGCAGTTCCTCACCCTGCGGAGGCTCAGGCACTGAGCTTGGCCGAGGTCTGCCCTGTGCACCGACTTCATTCCCAGTCTGGCCCTCCCTGGGTTTCGGAACCCAGGGTTCCGGATGCCATCGAACCCTGAGTGTGTCTGAGTCCAGGTTGTAGACCGGGTGCCTGGACCTCACTGGCAATTCGGCTTTGGGAGGAGTCAGGTTGAGGCATCTGCATGTGTGCACCATCCCACACCACTTCCCGTCCACAGCTGGGACCGAGACCTGGCCTGAGCTGCCAGCCCCTGCCTGGTGCTCAGCCTTTACATTTCATGCGTCAGCAACTACAGGGGTACTGGGCCCTCTTCAGCAGGGGGCTAAGCTGCCACTTTCAACCCGATAAAGCAGCCCTTGCCCTGGACAGAGCCGGAACTGGGCGTTCCAGCTCCGAAAGCACCTTTTTCTGATCCTTAGACTGGGAACCTGTTTACTACCCTGATCCTCCGCAGCAGTGGCTCTCACCAGGGCGTATTCTGCCTCCCAGGGCACCTTTCACAATGGCTGGAGATGCCTTGGGTTGTCACAACTAGGGAGGAAGTGCTACTAGCTACTGGGGGGTTAGAGACTGGGGATGCAGTTAAACATCCTGTAACGCACAGGACAACCCAAAATGCCAAAGTGCTGAGGCTGTGGAACCTGCCCCAGGACAGTCTGTTCCTTACGTCTGCCGGAGCTCCAGCCCCTAAAACTAAATACTAGTTCAAATTTATAAGAACCACTTAGGGTACCTGTAGATTTCCTAGACCCATAGACTTAGCCAGTTTAGCACTGGGCTCCAAAATTAGCATTTTCATAAGCATGCCAGTGATTCTGCAGCACGTGCTCTCAACAACACCTTGAGAAAGACCACCCTTGGAAACTGAAGCCTGGTCTCCAACACCAGCCTGGTACCTGAGATGATCGCCACTGACCAATTTCCCAGGAATCCACATCTGTCCTGAATTTCTGAACCCAGTACATCCCTGGATTCCTCGTCAGGACACTCACCCTCATGTCTCCCATTTCCTGCCCCATCCCAGACACCAGAGCTATTAGCTATCACAGAACTAACTCCTGCCAATCAGGACGATTCAGGTTCAATATATGCACCACGGGCCCTCGTGGAGTTCATGCCTAAGCTGGCGAAGGAGAACAGCATGTGAATTTTAAGTCGCAGGGGACAGACAAGAGTTCCTTCCAGTGTCCATCACTGCACTTCCTGCAAACCCCCGTTTGTAGCGCTGGCACCACTGGGGGGGTGGGGCAGAGGTCAAGAATGAATGCATCTAGGCCCTGTCATGTGGTCCCCATTTTTCCATCTCACCCAGGAGGACGTGGAGAGAAACTGTTTAAAGCACTGTTGAAATCTGGCTGAGCACTTCCCTCACCCACAGTCCAGCCACCTTATCTAAAAGGCTATACAGAGAAAGACAAATACCACGTGGTTTCACTTATCTGTGGTATCTAACAAAAAAACAAGCAGACTCACAGACACAGTAACGGTGGTGGTTGCCGGGTGGTGGGGGGGCGAGCGAATTAGGTGAAGGGGATGCAGAGGACACTCAGGTATCAGTGAGTCACAGGTGTGCAACACACAACACAGGGAGTCACTGCGTGGTGACCATTTTGTGATACACGAACGTGCTGAATCACACGTTGTACACCTGAAACTAATACTGTATGTCAGCTACAATTTCATTTTTTTTAGAGCTTATAGACAATAAAAGCCCTGACCAAAACAAAAAAGGTCCCCACACGAATTTCTGCCTGCCCACGTTTTTCAGATTGGGGAATTTCAGTTTTTCTACCCGTACGTTTACTGACATGGTTACTATGTTACCATCTCCGAACGGCTGTCCCCTGCTCTGGTGATTGTTTCGCCTCAGACACTCTCTTTCACTTCTGGAATCCCCGCAATGCCCGTGATGTTGTGGTTTCCTGTTCCCTGTTGGAACGTTCTCTTCGCTAATCGGGTTGCGGTGGGCGTGCTCCCGTTTGGGGGCCGAGTTGTAGCAGCCCCCTTGGAAACACCTGTCCGCTAACTCTGACCCTTGGTCGCCTGGGGGCGCTCTCCGCTGCTCGCCTTTTCTTTGGAGGGTGTTTCTTCACATGTCTGGTGTAATTAGATTGTATTCTGGACACTGTGGGTCATGCATTACAGACACAGTGGATTCTGTTTTGTTTCCCTGAAACATGTTTTATTTGTTTGTATAATAGGCAGTTAACCTGGTTGATCTCAGGCTCCAAATGCTGTCTCTCCCTCCAGTGGCAACAGCTGCAATGCCCGTGCATCTCCCTTCTGTTCAGGCTGAGCTGCCTGGAGTCCGCCCCGGGTGGGGGGTGGGGTCGGAGACCAGTGAGAGGTCTGGGTAGTGTGGCCGCCCTCCCTCCGGCGCTCTCCTGCTCCGGACTTCGCCTCACTTCCGCACCCCTCGGGCACCGTCCTCTCCCCTGGACACTGTCCTCTGAGTCCTGCGCTGGCACCACTTGTGGGTTCCCTGTGAGTTTCCACCACTCCCAGGGGCACTGCCTGGGGCCTATCCGAACTGGAAACGAGTTAACACGATTCCCTTCTTACCAGAGTTAACTCCCCTCGAGTTTCTGCATGCTTTTGGTCACTCTCCATTGGCTTTAGATCATTTTTTAATACTTTGTCCCAAGTTGAAGTTTGCGTGTGAGAGCAGTGATGCAGGACAGGAGGCTCACACCAGCAGGACTGGCCCAGATCTGAGATGAAGGACCTGCCTGGTTCTCTTTCCAGGTTGTAACTCCAACATCCCCCCCCACACACACACAATAACAACAAAGAAGTCATTAAAATATCCGAATACATTCACACATCTTAAAATAGCCCTGAGCACCTAACACGGCCTCATGAAACCAGAAAACCCGGCACACGCGCACATACTGCGGAGTCCCTGGGTCCACCCAGTGTGGACCCCAACCGGCCCACAGCTTCAGCTCACGGCTGCGGAAATTTTGTTTACTCAGTTTTCTAAGCTCTTAAGACACAGAAGAATATAAAACATGCTAACTCGACGTGTGCACTGGCCTGCAGTGCCCGCGGCATTATGGATGGAAAACAGACAAATTTTGCATGGACTGCTGAGTCCTGTGGAGGAAAAGGGATGGCAGGGCCACTCCCCCAAGGGGGGAGCCCCTCGGAGCGGCCTGGTCACCCTCTCAGGGGGAGCGTGTCCCGACCCTTGCCTAGACAGCCTTTTACTGGTTTTTTTATCTCACAGGAGTTCAGGTACAAGTTATTAATCGTTGTCAGGCAGTAAACAGTAGATAGCATACAAAGAACTATTAGGGCTTCTTCTAAGTCAGGGTCTATCAGTTAAAAGGCTCCAAAACTTTGGGAAAACAAACTCATTTTCTGTCTGGGCCTTTATCATTTAACTAAGAGCATTCTTAGCAAGGTAGGCTTCACAGGATTTTACATGTCCTTTCTTGGGCCTGATCTCCTGGGAGCCCACCCTTCCCAGCACAGGGCTGCACCACCCTCTGTCATTGTTTTCAGGCTTAAGTCAAGCAGAGGAGGCAGATAGCCAAGGAATTCTCGGAGACTTCTGAAGACAGACTGAGGACTCAGGCTTCATCAAAGCCAGGGGGCAAGGGTCCCTCACCCCCTCTTGTTGCAGCCCCCCGAGTCCTTCCTTGAGGACCTCCCAAGTGATCATGTCTGGCTTAGGCTGCCCCTGCTCTGAGGGGTCTGAGCCGTCATTGACTAACCCACCAAGCATTGGGGGCCAGAGGTGGATGAAGCAGAAGCAGTGCTTCTGCCAGGGAGATAAGCTTTGTTACCTTAGTGGCTCACAGTCCAAAGGTCGCTCACTCAGCCTTATCTATGGGGGTTTACACCTCCTGAAACCAGGCAGGGCAGTTCCCAACACTAACTTAATACCATATTGTATTAGCCAAATCGTTATGACATGATAGTTTTCTTAACTGGGATGGGAAATCACAAATGACTTTGTTTTCATGAAATTATTCTTACACGTTACTGTTCGAATCTTAGCCCTGAGGGGCTTAATGCAAGTAACATCCATTAAATTTTTTTCTGACTCATACATACTGAAATGCATTTAATTTAATGAAAAGATTAGAAACAAATTTAAAAGAATAACTCTGTACCTTTACTTCCCCTTTTCTCTCCATGAGTTTACAATTTCTTTAAAGCGTCTATTCTATTAAGGGAACTTGACAGCGTTAAGGCAGGTCTTGCTTGTTGACATTTCTTGTGTACTATTCCCCGGGAACATCTCTGGCATGACTCAATGCATTTCTGTTTCATTTTATGGTGCTGGAACACTTAGCTTATGTATTACTGAGGCTTATGTTCTATGATGGAGAAACCAGATGCACTCCTCCCATTTAGCCTGGTGTTTCAACAT